TCCATTTTTTTCTTCTTACAGTATTGATGATTAAATAAACAAATTAAAATCTCAGTCAAAGAATATTATTAAAAACATAAAGAGGGTACCCCATCACTAACTTATCTGCAGTTTCAATTTCCACAGTCACTTCAAACCCCAGAAATAAATTGTTCATAAATTGTATTTAATAATGGTCCCAAAACACAAGATTAGTGATGCTGGTAATTCAGATGTGCCATTAATGTTATTTCATTTAAGTGAATGTTTTCAGCTTAATAAGGAAAGAAACAAAATTGTATGCTTGCTTCTCTCAGTCACAACTTTTACAATGTATTGTTACTGTTTTATTATTGTTGTCAAATTTATTGCACTTATAAATTCATCATGTATAGGGGGAAATTTGCAATCATACATATATGCAGTTGGGTATGACTAGAATTGTCAAAAACAAGTTTTCATGATAAACTTTATTGAATAATTTTGCACCAAGAATTTATATCTTCATTGTTTTGTTGACAAAAATTTTGTCTTTATTTTTATAACATTATCCAACAATAATTAATCAAGTATAGACAAATGCCTCTGATTTTTTTACCATATATACTCCTGTATAAGCCAACTTAATGTATAGTTTAATCCCTGAATCTTTTTGCATAAATTTTAACCTCTCCAGTAAAAATCTACCTGTATATAGGGCAACTGGTCACCGAAACTGCATAATTTTTAACCTCTTTAAAAATAAATAAAAAAAAAATCACATCACCTGTATATAGTGAAGACCCCTATTTGTTGCATGAAAAATTAATCATAAAAACTTGCACTATACTCAAATATGACTCGTTCAGCAGAACAAAGGCATATTCAACATTTGATAATTTTGCAGCAGTACACACTTAAAGGTTTTGGGCAGTTTTGATCAAAATTTCTTTTCATGGTTAGCCATAAGGAATTGTAGATGTAGGACTACCTTACACTTAAGTAAAATAATAATAATAATATTTACTAAGAATTTATTACAGTAAATATCAACATTTATGGAAACATTGTTGACATTTATGTATTTAGTTACATAACAAATAAATAAAAATAATATAAATTTTGATGCTATATTCAATTTGTTAGTTTTTTTTTTTTTTTTCATTTTCTCTTTTGTTATTGACAGCATTTTAGAATACTTTGGCTGCAAGACTAAGTTTCCTAAGTTGAACAAACTAGAGCTATTTTGTTTACACTGTTACCTCCCTTTTCCATTGTTGTTTTTTAGATCACATTCTTCCAGTCATTTTCATGGGCAATAGCAAAATTCTGAAATTTATAATGTTCTTATTCCATTTCAAAAATAAAATATGTAAGAAGGAATATTTTAAATTAATATATGACCAAAAATAAAATGTTTTTGACAAAAACCTTAATGATTTCACTGTTATTTTGTATGATATTCCACAGATAAATCTACAATTTATGCTACCTCATCTCCTTGCATGGTTATGAACTATAAACCTAAATTGAGTTTGAAATATTGTGCAACGTGCTCTAATTTTTTAATTTTCTATAAAATACTTCGATACAATATAATGAATAATTTTTTTTTTTTTTTTTTTTTTATCTGCTTAATTCTTATTTGATGAAATGATTATTTTGCTGATAATTTGAAAGCATAAATTTGTGTAAATCAGCTATACTTTCTGATTAGTACTTTTCTTTTTTTTTTTTTTTTTTTTTTTCTTGGCGTTATTGTCATTTAAGTCATAATATTGAGAATAAAGAATATAATCCCCAAATTTATATGTAATATTTTTTTATTTTTTTTACATTTTTTTCCTTAATTAATAAGTTTTGTCAGAAAAAAAATCCATGAGCTCTTTGTTATTTTAAATTTAGGTTTTAAAAATTACTTCCTCAGTGCATTATTTTGTCATTTGTGGCCAAGGATTAATAAATAAAATGTCTCATTTTAACTTGCACCTCCCCTTAAGGTATGGTCAAGGCTATTCCATTTAAAAGAAAACAAAAATTAAAAAAAAAAAATGTAATGTCAAAAGGGAGATAAATGAGACGCAATTCTGTGGCTCATTTGTTGAACAGTCAACAAATTTTGTAGTATTTTATTTAAACTCTGAGCAAGATTATCATTTAATTAAATTGTATAAATGCTTACTAATTGAATAATTTTCTTTTATAATATTTACTGGAAGTTACAAGTGAAAATATTTTTTAGGAAAATTAGAAGTTTGTTAGAAAAATAGGATTCATTTTAAGTATACATTAAACATACATGGAGAAGGTAACAGAAAACTACTCCTATAGTTTGCAAGAATGCATGATAATTTACAGATATAATTTTTAATAGGTAATATTGTTGGTGTTTATATAAATAGCAGAACAAAACTTAATGTTGTTCAGGAGTTAATAGTAAGTTTAAGTTTTTCCACTTTATAACTGGAATTAGGTACCTCCACGAGATCGCTAAAAAAAATGATGAAAAAGACGCCAAACTTGACGAAAACAAAATTTTATCGTCTAAATGTTTGTTATTATTAAGAGGAAAGGTCAAAGTATTTTTTGGGTATTTTTTTCCATTTTTTAATCGTTCCTAGCACGTCCGAAATTTTCATTAAAAATCTAGTTTTTTTTTTAGTCAGCAAAATTGACCTTTTTTTTTTCCATTTTAAAAAAACTGGAAATCTGACTTTGAAATTATTTTTAAATATCAATTATCATTTTTTCAAAACTTATTTTAAGAAAATCAGAAATTATAATGTTTATTTAAAATATTTTGAACCAAACTTAACTTAGCTTTTGTGCCAAAAAAGATGTAATTTGAAAATAAAACAAAGCAGGTCATAAACTTTCGCGTCTCTTGACATGTGATGAATGATATATTTACGAATTCCATGAGGCTAATTTGTTCTACGGAAGGAGAAAAGTGAAATAATTTACATTTACGTGAACAAATTATTTACCCGTTATTTTTAACGAAAAACTTTCAGCAGTCTAATTTTTTTTTTTTTTTTTTTTTTACTTAGCTTTCACCTTTTACGTTTATGATGCTTTATGGGAAATATATTGTAAAGAAATTAAAATAAAACTGTTAAGAGTGACATTAAATTTCATATTTCTTAAGAAAGGTATCTAATTAATTTATAGGTACCTTTCTTATGAAATTTTATCAGAATTGTACATAAAATACTATAATTTTATGTACATTTATTACATTCTACTGTTATTTGTATTTGCATTCATTTTATTATTAATTTTGATATTTCATTTATGGAAAAATGTCGTAACTGAGATTAATATAAAAAAAAAAAAGATCATATAAATTTCATAAGATGATACTGATACTTGTAGGTACCCTTCTCAGTTGAAATTGAAAAAAAATCAAATTAACTTCTCAACACATGTTTTCGCAAAAAAAGTAAAGGCCTTAACAGCGGAGAACAATGCTTAACTCAAATAACGCAACTTAATTATATTCTGGTTGGTCTTCCGTATTTTATAATTACAGCTCGATTATAAGCACAAAATTACGTTTCTTAATTACTGGGTATCTTCTGATTAGTCAAAATGATACAATTTACAACGCTAAAAAAAAAAATCTATCTCATAAGGACACTTATGAAAGCCGATCACGACTTTTAACTAATTTTATAATATTTTAACAACTTAAATGTAAAATCTATTATAATTAATGAAATAACAAATAATTGTATTAAAAAATTCATTTTTCATCGAAAAAATTTTTTTTGCTTTCAGAAAATATTGTCCATATTCATAAAAACAACTAAAAAGCAAATAAAAGCATTTGAAATTAAATAATATCTTTGTTTTATTGAGTTTTGTATGTTACAATTCAGAGCTGATTTTCAGGTACTGCGTATCCAATTAAAAAAAAAAAAAAAAAAAACATGATTTGCATTCCTCAAAGCCCTGTGCTTTTAATTATTGTAATCACTAAAACCGATGCGATCGAATTTCTAGCGTTTTCATAAAATTAGTTATGGGGGGGTAATAAATATTTTAAAAAATATTTCTACCATGACTTTCATAAAAAAAAATATTTATAATAATTTTGATCATCTGTGAATAGTTCCTGAAAGTTTCATTAACATCCGATAATTATTTCTATTTTTTTTTTACACGATTTTTCAAATTAATGTGTCATACCAAAAAAAAACGTGCTAAAATTGTCTGTTATTTACTAGTTCCGCTGATACAAATAGAAAAAAGGTTTTTTTAATCAAAATTTAGAATGTTCTAAAAATAAGGAAAATTTTTTAAAATAATTAAAAAAAAAAACTTTGGTCTTTCCTCTTAATAATAACATAAGCATTTAGACAATAAAATTTTGTTTTTTAAAGGTTGGCGTCTTTTTCATCAAGCTATGCTCTTTTTTTAGCGATTTCGTGGAGGTACCTAACTGGAATGAACCTTTTGGCTAATCCAATAAATTCTTTAAAATGAATATCTTTAAAACATTTGACTCTAATGTACTTACAATGTGTCATCATCATAAGTCACATTGATATTTTTTTACAAAATCACTTGTTTTGCCTGGAAAACATTTTTTTCTTAAAATTTCTCCTTTTTAACATTTTGAATGAATCCACCATGATTTTCTATTCACTGCTTTAAAAAAAAAAAATATAAACTTTATTTTCTAATTTATTTTTTAAGGTTAAAATGATTAATATTTAATTAAGGCTTAATGAAACCTGCTGAGAAAACCTATTTCAAATATTGTTCAGATCCTTGATGTTTTATTTGTAAACTTTTCATTTGTATATTTTCTTCCTATTGCTGTTATTTTATGTCTAATTGAAAAGGGCTGATTTAGACCAAAATGGAATGTTGTAAAGAAAAAAAAAAATTCTAATACTTGTAATCTAGTATTATGAAAATTTAGTATTTCTATAATGTAACAAACTTACAACTATATGATCATGATTGTTACCTTGAAATTAATATTTTATATTTGATTAATTTTTTTTTTTCTTTTTTTCCTTCTACCACTCTAGGTGTACACTTATATTATGTTGGTGGGGAGATGTTTGCAGAATGCCTCAGTGACAGCAGCATTTTTGTGCAGAGCAGAAACTGCAACTATCATCATGGCTTCCACCCCACCACAGTATGCAAGATCCCGCCCGGTTGCAGCCTAAAGATATTCAATAACCAGGAGTTTGCACAGCTACTCAGCCAGTCAGTTAACCATGGTTTTGAAGCTGTCTATGAACTAACAAAGATGTGTACTATTCGCATGAGCTTTGTCAAAGGTTGGGGAGCAGAGTATCACCGGCAGGATGTGACCAGTACCCCATGCTGGATTGAGATCCACTTAAATGGGCCGCTGCAGTGGCTTGACAAGGTGCTGTCACAGATGGGGCCACCCCACAATCCAATCTCTTCTGTGTCCTGATCAGTTGTGCTCATCTTTGTCATCGTTGTCGTCGTTATTGTTGTTGTCATCGTTGTCTGGAGACTCTTGCCACTGCAACAGCCACACTGTCTTTATGTTTTGTCATCAGTTCATTCATGGTATCTTTAATATAGCAACCCTGCAATTGCATATACATTTATAAAATAAAGGAGAAAAGAAAACAAAAAATAAACTGAAAACCAAGCAATCAAATACAATACAATGAAAAAAAAAAAATAGAAAAAGTAAAACAATCTCCTCACTCTCTCTCCCTCCCCCCCTCCACTCCTTTTTTTTTTTCTACACCCAAATTATAAACAAAACTATTGTTTTCTACAAAAATTTGTTTTTCTGGTGCTTTCTGATAGTTGAGTACACATGGGTGGGAGCCAAATCAAGAATTGAAAGCTCTGTATTTTAAAGAGTAATTAATGGAGAAAAACAAAAAAAGTAAAATACTAAATGTATTTGAGGAATTGGTTCTCATATTTGATTTTTTTTTTTTTTTTTTTTTTACATATATAAAATGCTCAGACTTGTTCCTTTCTTCTGCTTTTTATTGTCTCATTCAGGAAGAAACTTATTGCTGTGCAATAAGCTGCCAGTAAAATATACACACACACACTCACACATTTCAAAATTGCAAGTGTCTTTTTTTTTTTTTTTTTTTTTCCTCCCCTCCCCTTTTTATTATTTTTCCTGCTTTTTTTTTTTTTTTTATGCATATCTATATATTTTGTAATTTGGGATATTGGGATGGGTTGGCATTTGTCTTTGCATGTGTTGGCATATACAGGAACAAGAAAGACTAAAACAAAAACTATGCTATTACTATTCTGAAAATGTTGCATTAATTTTTTTTTATCTGTTAACATTTTTGTCACTACATCTTCATTACATTATCATTTCTCATTGCTACCATCTTTCATCGCATTACATCCAGATGTTTTTCATATAAACAGCTGAAATAGTTTTTTTTTTTTTTTTTTTTTTTACCCTTGACTGAAATATTTTATGTATTGCTGAAAAATGAGGGTGACACGTAGGTAAAAGAAAAAAAAAACTTCAGTCATTGGTTAGTTTTAATTCTTTCACTTTTTGTATTTAGTAGTATGTTTCCTTCCCTCCCACTACTAAATTCATTTTTGAATTTGACACATTTTAGATATAGCCTAAGTTTATTCAAGACCTTTTTCTCAATCTATTTTAATTGTAAATGCTGTTTACTGCTATATGAGCCCACATGATAATCTTTTTTTATTTCTTTCCACGTTCTCTAAAACACACACACACACACCCACAAAATGGAGCATAAAAAAAAAAATTGAACTATTGATGATGAGCTGCCTAACGGGTCTAGACAATTTTCCCTAAATTCACTCCAAGATCTTTGCATTTATGCCTGAACTGTATAGCCCTGTCTTGTGTCAGTTGGAAGTACATGATCTGGAATTTAATATTTCTGAACTAGAATACATAATTAAACTATTCTCATCTTGTTGCTAAGATCTCGGAAAAATAGATTTAAAAAAATGAAGCAGTACAAAGGGGGAAATAAAGGTGGGGAAGAGAAAAGCAGCAGCAACAACAACAATGTATACAGTCTCTTGTAATGTCTTCTTTTTTTCTTTTTTTTTTTTTTTTTTTTTCTTTTGTTCATAATGAAAGCTTTTTCTCATCAGAATTACAACAAACTGTGACAATAATTTCTTTCCTTGTTTAAACATTTATAATTTAAATATTTTTTAATTTTTAAAAATTTTTCATCCCCTTGAAAACATTTCATATATTGTTTACTTATTCGTAAATTCTTCCATGAAAAAATTTCATGCCATTGAAATTTAGTGATTGAAATAAGAAATCAGTTCTTGAAAAATTGTCATTTTTATCACTTGAAAGAGTAAAAGAACAAAAAACAAACCAATTATTGTGTTTGCCTATTTTTCCCTCCTCCAGCACCTCATAAAAAGCAAATTATGTCATTAGCATTTATTTTCAGTACATATAAATAATTTAATTTTTGCTTTCTACAAACTATTTTTCTACACATTTTTTTAAGCTTTAGAAAAGTTTTTAAGTTTTGAAAGTCAGTTCATTTCTCAGAGAAATCAATGTGTGCTTTTATAAAACTTCGCATAAACTACATTTAATATCATTAGGATCTTGCTGCTTGTTATCATAGCTTGATAGTCATAAAAATAAGTTAAAAATGATAAATTTAAAAAAAAAAAAAGTGATATTTTGGGCAAATACTACAGATGAAGTAATAGACTTAAGGGGATAATTTTATATAAAAATATTTTAAATTCAGTTAACCTTTAAAACTTATGATAATTACTAAACTATCAATGATGTACAGAACAAATATGGTTGCAGTTTGTTAAAACTAACAGCAACAGTGATAATAGAAATATAATTATTTTATTTTCTATCATCTGTATAAAATGTAACTAATTTCAAAATTAATTGTTTAAGGCCTTTTTGTGTATACAACAAACTACTGAAGCTATTTTGTCTCTAAAAATATATTTAATGTCTATTTTCAATTGCTTCTACTTTAAACCAAACAAACTTTGTGTATGGGCTTGTTCTTCACATAACCATCCTTATCTCTTCCTATCATTTCAGTAAATTCTTTAAAATATAACCAAAAGACACCTATCTTTTAATTAGTTTATTATTTACCTGCAATCAGAAAAGTAACTGATAGTGAATCACCAATAATTGCATTGAAAACTTTGTAGATTCCTAAGTTGTACTCTGCATCATCTTCCAGGATATTTTTAAAAATTCAAATGTAATCAGAATAAGTAAATTTTAAAATTATATAAACTGAAGAGCAGTAAAGATTTAGTACATGGAAATGCCCATTACAGCAGTTAGAATTGAACAAACTCGAGTACATGCTTAATGTAGTAAATACACTTAAATTCTGCAAGGTGAAAAACACATAAGCTCTTAAACTCTGGAAAAAGTATTTTATGAAAAGTTGGTTACAAAAACATACACTGGATGATGTGTGCAGTGTTATATGAAGTATTACAAATCAATGGAAATGTACCAAAGCTATTGCTTTGTTTAATCATGTCACAAACAAAAGAGAACATGTCTGCAGTTTGATATCAAAGTTTGTTTTTTCTTCAACCTGAAAAGGTGTGACCAAACTGTGCACAAATATAAATCATCAAGCATGGCCAAAAGTCTGTATTATTCCACAATGAAGTCATAGATCAAGAAAGGTGATTATGGCAGGGTTGACGGAGCAGAAGTGTATCAAACTACCTGCTATCAAACATAATGGAAATAGTTAAGAGATTTAGGTTTATATCATAATGATGTTCTCAGGGTTTGCAATTGCAGGAGTACAGAAAAATATCGAAGACTTTGTTATTTGATGATTAAAAAATTTGGGCTTTGACATAAAGAAAAATTTGAAAGAAGTGGACTTCATCAATGTCACTTTTGAACTTTGTAAAGGTGTAAACTGCACATACAGAAAAATAATACTCTCATTTCATCTAAGTGGCTATTTTCAAACTGATCCCAAAGTTTGTGTGTGATAGACTGTCTGCAAATTCTCATAATAAATACTTTCAACAATGCACAGCCAGGGTATGAAACAGCATTATGGGGAAAGCAGAAATGCCAATTTAGAGTAAAAGAAAGATCACTTTGTTCAAAACTATACACAATAAATTTGTGAAGACAAGATTTTTTTTTTTATTTATTTATTATTTTTATAAACATTTCCTAGTAAGCACCATAAGATATTCAAGTGAAGCAGAATTAAATTGACCCATTGCAGGAGGGACAATATAATCTGGTTAATAATAATTTAAAAAAAAAAGAAAAAACATGAAGCCACTATGCCACAAATTCAACTCTCTCTGTTGCCCATTTGAAGGAGAATGCTTAACTCCTAATGTAGTCTACCAGCAACTGTATAGACTTAAGTTAGATATCTTATATTGGCATTTCTGAAGGGCTGTGGAAACAGATTCCAAAAGCACAACACTACATTTGTGGGAGTTGTAAGACAAGAGTAAAAAAAATATTCACAGAAGTGGAATAGAAAATATGAAGAGCCTTCACTTCTAAAGTTACATCTAGGTGTCAATTATGCATTGAAGAAAAGTTTAAATATTTTAGAATTCTCTCCAACAGGAAAGATTATTTAATAAAAAGTCTAAATTACTTTCCAAATGTAGACTTCAGCTACCTACCTACTGAATAAATGAGCATGGATTGCCCATGTTTGTATATCTATATCCAACTTGAGAGTTTTACTTTGTGCTTGATGTTTGCTTAAATGTGAAATCCAGTTGCACATACATTTTCTTTAAATTAATTTTTACAGCTATAGTAGCTCTGCTTGGCATTGGTTGATGTTTTTTTTTAACCAATGCTATATGATAGCAAGTTTGTCATCGTTAGTAACAGGGTTGTGTGATGTCTCTGTCTCAAAAAAATTAATTTATTCATATATTTATAAAAAAAAATTTTTTTTTAATTCACAGTAAAAAAAAAAAAATTTAAATGGCTAGTTCTACTGTCTCTATTCTGCAAATAGAGCAATTGAAATGTGGAGGATTGATTTTAATTTAATTTTTTTACGTAAAATTATTCTAAAATTATGTAAGACAATGATTACCTGAAACCACTGTTTTTTTTTTTTTGTTTTTTTTTTAACACAAATATAGATTTGAGTTTGCCATTATGAAATTTCGCTATGTTCCTAGAGAATATGAGGATACATATAGACTTTTTTTATTTTTATAGTTAAAATTATTTCTATGTAACTATTTCTAATAATCATAAAATAAATATATGAATAACTATTCAAAAGCATGATAGGAAATTATATTTTCTAAAGTAAATCTAAATAAAATTATTCTCATTAGAAGAAAATGCTTTTTCCTGTTTTACATTTTCTACCATTGAGAATGCATTCTAAGCAATAAATTTATTTTATGGTCATTTCCCACTACCAAGCCCAATGA